ATTTTTAGAGCATATGGCAAGTTTTATTAAGGCCTCGTTTGGGAACAGGCTAATTTAGTAACTTTTTTGCTATTTGGCTAAAAAAGTAGGTAAAAAAAACTTGTATGTTTGGGATGACTATTTGGCTAATTACGAAAAGATGTGCAAAAAGTAGAGAGAAAAAGAGAATCTTTGACTTTTTTGGTATAAGTTGTTGGCTTTTTGGCTAATTTAGTAACTTTTTAGCTAATTGGCTAAAAAAGTAAGTCCCCAAACGGGGCCTAAAAATTGATTCAGTCCGATTAATTAAGTCATGTTTGGTTAGCCTAATATTCCTAATTAATGTGTTTTAGTACCATATATACATATATGAGCCTTAACTTATTTTTGAGCTTAATTCTTTGCTCCTCTTAGTGCAAAAATCTGAGGTTTTCTTTTAGAGAGAGAGAGTGTGTGCAATTCTAAAGAGAGAGATGGAGGAATTGAGGGAGAATTGAAGACCTTGGCTTAGATTCATCAAAACTAAGCTAGAGCTAGAGTAATTCAAGACTATAGGTATGAATTCAACCCCTAAATTATGAATCTAAGTTATCAACATGAAGATTATGTGTTTAAGTGTGTATATTGAGCTTAGAAGGAAGATTTGAGTGGCAATTCATGCATGCGTGTACATTTTCTTACAAATTGAGCATGATTTCCATGAATCCTCTCTTGCATGTTTGAAATTCATCTTCATTTGGGGAAATCATCAAGTTTCAAGTTGTTTTGTGGTGTTTGATCATGTTTTGGGAAGCTCAAAACCAAGAAAACCCATGCATGTTGTGTTCATAAACATTCATCATGTTTTAAGTTGAAATTGTGAGTTTTTAACAAACTCTTGGGCCATGATTTTATGAAATAATCCGTAATTCTTCATGTTTTACAAGTTTACTATGTTATCTCAAGTTTTGGGGCCCAAGAGATGTGTTTTCAAGGTTGGAATTCGAGTTTCAAGCTTGAAGGTACAATCTGGAAATTTCAGAATTTGCATCTACGCTCGAGCGTGGGAGTTCACACTCGAGCGACCGCTCTGAGTGCGTGCACTCCGCTCAAGTGACCAAAAGTCTGCTCGAGCGTGAATTGCAAGCTCCCAGAAGTTTCATGTCTTTTACAGATCGCTCGAGCGAAGGAATGTGCGCTCGAGCGAAGGAATGTGCGCTCGAGCGACCATTCACATTTTGCATGTCCGCTCGAGCGAGAAAAGCTACGCTCGAGCGTGGACCTTATTTTCAGAAATTTTGCCTAAGTGTTCCAAGGCATGTTTTGGCATCCTCATTGCATCTTAGGCATTCTTAAGCCTTAATTAAACCATAGTAATGAGGTTATGGATTAAAAACACTCTAAGAAAAGAATGTACTAAGTTCCGAGACTGCAAGTGTGTGTGTTTTAGGTAATGTGATAAGAAAGAATAAGAATCAATGTAATGAAAGCTAAGCCTTAATGGTTACTTGAATGTGTAATGATAAGACATGCTTGTGTTATGTATTTTGTGATTGTAGGTCAAGACTCGAGGATTGATTGACCGTTTACTAGAACCACTGTGAGTAACGTTATTGTAAATATACGTTCATATGAATTACGTTCCAAATGAAATATGATAAGTTCTGATTTCTGAAATGATATCTGTTTTCGTGAATGAATATTCCAAGTTTGAAATCTATTATGGCATCCATAGATAGTCCCAAGTCATGGGGGACGGTATGAAAATACGGGTCCATGACATACAAGTAATTACGAGACCTCGTTAGCCACCTCATTATGGTGATATGTGTTTAATCAGTATTCAAAACCGATTACTCTAGTCGGAAGACGTTTTGTGATATGTTCTATGGGATGTACCATTATTATGTTCTGATATAAGAATGATTATGCTCTGGTCTGTTTTCTGCTTATGATATATTCGGATTTCGTTCACTAAACCCTTTACCTTAATGTTATTCATTATTCTTTAGCTCATTGTGTGTATATATATGTATAGGTGAGCATTCTGGAGCCCGAGTCTACAGGCTTTTGTCTGGATCTGTGTTCCGTTGTCAGCCAACCATTGTGCCTCACGTGGAGGTTCCCAAAGCGTCATGTGTTTAAGTTTTGTGGTTTCTGTTTATATAAGACTTATTTTGATGTCGTTGGCTGTACTTAAAATACTGTAATGTGTGCGGGTATAATATATGGTTAACTACCAGTTATGTATATAAAGTTTTAAATATTCCGTTTCAAATAAGTCAGCACAGCTCATTGGACAACTATATTTATGTATTTGCTTCCGCTAGCTCCTTAATCTTGTTAATTTGTTCAGAGGCCATCAGTAATCCAAGGATTACTGGTCGGTTACGATGCTAAACCTATGGGGTGGGTTTGGGTCGTGACAATAACACCAATAAAAAATTCGCAAAGTGTTTAATTGAGATTCTATTTGAAGTGTTAGTTTTTTTTTGGGTAAATTATACTGACACTTTTAAGATTTGATTCAATTACATTCTATTCTCTAACATTCTGGAAATTATATTCTCACACCTATGGTTAATACTCTCACTTCACAACTCTTCATGCTTATTAGGAGTGAGTAGCGGATATACCGATCCGCCTAAACTGACCAAATCGAACCGATCCGCCGCATTTTGGACGGATGTGTGATAACGAGCGGACGGTTGGGAGCACTCCTAGGAATTTGCAAGACTTTGTATTTTCAATTTGTTTAGATATTCTATTTGTGTTTTCAAACACAAACAGAATATATTTTTTGAATTGAAAAAAATAAATGTATTATTTAGCTATATTTTTTAGTTTTTAAATCTAATTCTAAAAATAATAAATAAAAAAGACGATATATGCTGGTTGGTTTTTGTTTTAAAAAAGAGACATAGATGTAATAATACAGAGATATACAATCTCTACTACTGCCACGTTCATGATTTTGGTGGTTTGCATTATTTTTATATTTTAAGAACCACATATTGTAATACTTTATATGGATGTGGTATACTGTTATTGTAATATGTGGATAAGGCATACAATGATTATAATATTCTAAAGTTTCAAACTTTCTATCTTTGGACGAGGCATGTTGTAATTGTTATACTTTTTTAAATCATTCACGGTAATACTTTTTTTTTTTTAAGTGCACAAGTTGAATTATGTTGAAAATTTATAAAATTTTAAGTTGCCAAACTGATTCTCATCCATCCGTCAATCCGCTCAATCCACATCCGCCGAATTGGCGGACAGATATGGATTGATTTTCTCAAATCCGCCAATTTGGCGGACGGTTGACAAATTGGAGGTTCCGTGGCTGTAACCAACCTGCGCTCACGCCTAATGCTTATATAAAAGGCAACAACTCTAATAGAAAACACAGATGAAATTACATTTTAAAAAAAAAAGGCAAATTACACAAATAGTCCCTATAGTTTGGGGGTCGTATCACTTTAGTCATTAACTTTTCAATTATGACACATTTGATCTTGAATTTTGAATCTTATTTCAAATAAGGACAATTGAACATACCATTGCTTAATTTCAAGGGCAAAATTGTCAATTTGATAAAATATAAACTAATTTGACAAAAATAAATGTCAAAAAAATATTTTAAATTTTTAAAAATTATTTATACCCACCAAAGATAAAATTATGTAAAATTAACAAAAATTACATGATTAATTTTTTAAAATTAATTTTACATGATCATCATCCAAATACATAATAAAAATTAATTTGGTAAAAAGAAAATAAATGTCCAAAAAATTTATCAATTTTATATAATTTTATCTTTAGTAGATAGAAATAATTTTAAAAAATTCAAAAATAATTTTTTGACATTTATTTTTGTCAAATTAATATATATTTTATCAAATTGACGAATTTGTCCTTGAAAAATCCAATAGTATCTTTAATTGTCATTGTTTGGAACAAGATTCAAAATTCATAGTCAAATGTGTCACAATTGAAAAGTCAGGGACTAAAGTGATATAAACTCTAAACCATAGGAATCATTGGTGTAATTAACCCAAAAAAAAAAAGTAAAGCAAAGGAAGGAGGAAAAAAAAACAGAGGAAGTAAAGCAAAATAAGAAAAGAGAAAGTGCATAAATTCAATATTTTCATTCCGTCTAAATAATTACAATGACAATGGGGTTAGTGTAATTTCTCAAATGTCAGAGAGTGATATGTATTAAAGCCAAACATCAAAGGTATAAGTGTAATTTATCATTTTTTGTGGTTAAAATAGTAAAAAATTCAAAACATTTCAGGATTGTTTTGAATATGACTTATAAGTTAATTTTTTTATTTCTTATGAAAAGACGTACAAAAAAATAAAGAGATGATGTGACTCAAATAAGACAAAAAAATCAATTAATTAACTTTTTTGATTCATCCGAAAATACCCCAATCATATCACTATCTCTATTTTCTACACATTAATTTTTTTTTTTTTGTAAAAAATTAATGAAAATAATCATTTCACAAATACCGCTGAGTCCATATCACCATCATCTTGTTTGATTTCAATTTATTAAATTCAATTTTATAAAAATAATTTTTTATTTTTCATTTTTTTTGTTTTCAATAATTTTTTTAATATTTTAAGTAAATTTTTTATTTTTAAATACACATAATATAAATATAATAAAAAAATATAATATTTGTGAAAAAATACAAATTCATTATAAAATATAAAAAAATACAAAAATTCAATACATTTTTATATTTTTATGTATTTATTAATTTTTTAAAAAAATATTTTACCTTTTAAATATATTTAAGTTAAGTACATTTAAAAAATAAAAAAATTATTTAAAATATTAAAAAAATGTATTATGAAAAATAAAAAAAATTATTTTTAAAAAATCAAAATTCAAAAAATTAGAATCGAATGAGATGATTGACATGGTTAAAAATGTAACAAAAAAATAAAAAATAAAAAATGCAAAGCAACACAAAAAGAAAAGAAAAACAAATTTGGGGTAAAAGGTAGCATCTGTACTAGGGAGGGTTGTAAGACACCTCGAAGACTATTAGAAGAAAAACACAGAAATATCTCTCTCTCTCTCTCTCTCTCGTGCTTCACTATGGAGCTGTCAATTGAAAAGAGTTTCAGCGATGGATTTCGATTATAATCCATACAGATTCTTCTTCAAGCTCCATCGTCGTCTTCATCGGTAACTTTCTATCTTCCACTCAAAATCTCCCATTTTCACTCTCACTTTCTCACTCAATTTCTTTTATTTTCTTGTTTTGTACTTCTCTGTCCTGCCCTTAATCATCAAACACATATGCATTCGTCTCAAGAATTGTATATACATGCTTTGTAAAGCTTGATTTTTATAATTAATCTGCTCGAAACCCTAGCTTCATCGATTTTCGAGCTTACTCACTTTGAAGTTGTGTACAAAGAGGCAAAATCATGATCGATCATTATCTTGATCCCTAGCTACTGTAATTGTTTTGTGGTTTATTTACAAATAAAAGGTCATTTTTTTGGCTCCAGATTGGTGTATGAATTCCAGGAAATTTAGCTGGATTTGGGATAATGTGCAATTTGTGAGGTCTAGTTGTTTAGTGTTCGTTAGTGTATTCGAGGCTATATGAATCTTAAGAAAGTAATGTTTTTAGCTGGATTTGGGATAATGTGCAAATAGTGAAGTAAATTTCGCAAAGAAAAGGGAAATTAGTTGCTCCAAATTGGTGTATGAATCTTAAGAAGTAATATGTTTAGCTCAATTTGGCATAATTTGCAATTAGTGAGGTGTGGTCGTTTAGTGACTATTAGTGTATAATAGTTTTAGATGGGTTTGTGATAATGGGCAATTCGTGAGGTAAATTTTGCAAAGAAAAGTTAAATTCGTTGCTCCAGATTGCTGTATGAATATTCAGAAGTAATATTTTTAGCTGGATTTGGGATAATGTGTGATTAGTGAGGTGTGGTTGTTTAGTTGACTGTTAGTGTATCCAAGGCTGTCCTGATTTAACAGCTACTAGAATAGCTAATAAGGAGAGTGTGTATAAACATTTAGTTTAGAGGTAGGCTTGTGTATGATGTGTATGCAAAGGGTGGCTAATTGGATGCACAAAAGGGGAGAGAGACCACTTTAAAGGGAAGTCATGTCGGTGTTGTTGGGAAAGACCTTTGTGTGTGGTAGAAATTATATTATTTATGTTTTGCTTGTGCCCTAGTAAAAAACAAATTTTATTTCTCCCTCTACAATATTCAAGCATTACATACATATTCAACTTTATCCAAGTATTTGCACTTACAAAAGAAACCTTTTAAATGTATCAAGTGAGATTCTTAAAAAAATTGGAGAGCTGGGTGTTTTACCTCTATTTAAGGTGAGCTTTTCTATTACTTTAGTTTTAAAAACTGTCATTGAGTTATTATTGCTTAAAAATTGAGAGTGGGTAAGGTATTGTTTTAGTGAAGTTTTCATGTTTAGGCGACCTTGAATTTAAGGAAAAAATGGTTTCAGTGGAGAGGAATTGAAGTCAGATATTCTTGGGATAGGGTGTTGGTTATTTATTTATTTATTTTTTGGATAAGTGGGATAGGGTGTTGGTTATGGATGTGTTGCCTTTGTAAATTATACTGAAGATGCATTTGCTGGTTTCTGATAAAGATTCTGGTGGATGTTCCATTTTGTTTTCTGTTGGTGGAAAGTTGATAGCCTGCTGGACTAGAGGCTGCTATTGGTGTTTATGTTCATGTTTATGGTCTTATTGAGGGATTAGTGGTTTATTTGTTTGAGAAATATTTCCACCAGGTGATTCTTTTTTGTGTACGAAGAGATTTATCAAGGCAAAGAACCTGTATTGGACTTATTTTTCGATTAAGTATGTTTTTCTCATTGGCTGGTGGTGTATCTTGCTTGCTTGGGTGTGTGGTTTGGCTGTTGGGGAAGAGAGTGCCGAGGTTGAAGACTGTTTAATAACCTGTTCAACAAAGTGCTTTACTGGTTTGCTGCTGTCGTGGATGTAGAAGATGGCTGCTGCACCACTTGCGGTTGGTGTGAGTAGCTCTGGGCGAGTGGGGAGCTTGACTGGTTGGTTTGACTTGACCACCACTTGACAAGCCTTTTGGTGCGGGCAGTTGTTTTGATAATCAGTCAGTCATGTTGATGTTTTAAAAAGGTTTGGTTATCTTTTACAGTGTCTAGTGTGTAACCCCTTTTTGGGCCGTGTAATGGTGTTCCTCATGGAGTGTGTTGTTTTCGGCCACGTGAGCCTAATCTCTTGGGCTATGAGAGCGTGCATTTTATTGACTAGGCTTTTATTGTTCTTTGTAGGTTAGGTGTGTGTCTCCCTCTCAAGGGTGTTATCTTTGGGCATGTCTTCAGCTTCATTGTAAATCCTCTTTTTTATTTTTTCTCCTGGTAATAAAACACTTATGTACCAATAATATATATATATATATATATATATTATTATGTCTGTAAACTGTTGTTATTGTAACCGGACATGTTTGTACATATATCACCAATATCAGCTCCCTGAGACAGATTCTGTTTTAGAATAACCTGTGCATCAAATAAACTTCATGACCGCATGGCTGTTTAAGATGTATAGCAGTGTAGGGTTTGCATTGGACAGTGATAAGAATGGCAATCAGTTTTGACTGTTGATGGTGAAAAGCTAACATAAAGTGAATGCTTCCATTCTCCTGAGTATTTCTTTATGTAGTCTATATGGGTGGGTTGTAGGATGGGCCTAATGTTGGCTACACACTATACGGTGGGCTAGGGCTTCAAATTATAGCTTAATGGTTGGAAAGTTAAGATTAGAGTTGTAAGTATAGAATGTATGTCTGAAGTCCAAATGACATATGTTTATTAGAAGTCAGGGAGTTATTAAGGCTGGAGTAGTGTGGTAAACTAGGTTAGGATTTAAGGTCAAATAAAAAATAAAGAAGAAACCCAGATCTCTAAGGTTGTATTTAGATCATGGATTTAAGTAGGGATATTTGGAAAGGAGAAGGAGAAGGCGAGGAAATGCAAATCAAATATAAGCTAAAAAGATTTCTCCATTTCCCTCGGCTTTTCCTTTCCTTTCCTTTCCAAATCCCTACCCAAAATCCATGATCCAAACACATCATAAGGGTTTTGTAGGAGTCTCACTCAAAGAAATCAACGAAGCCTCACCTTTAAAAGAGAGCAAAATCTACAGAAGTTCCATTCATAATAAATTGTTTAATATGTTTACAAAGCTTTGCTTACGTAGAGGCATAAAACTTCTCCTACAAGACTGAGTTATTCCAATTTCCTACTAGAGAAGGATTTCTAAAACCAAGGCTCGAACATATTTCCAAATAAGAAAAGGACTCAATAAATCTCCCAAACAAACATCTAACTAATCAGGACCAAAGAAAATATGAAAATCATGAAAATGTCCCTAGTCTATAAAATTTCAAAATGCCCTTAGTCAAAAATCTGTTTTTCTCCTAATAAAAAGGTACTAGAGCCATCTGGGCTGGTCCAATTCCATCAGAGAATAGTTTTTGGCCATGAAAAGGTACACCAAAATGCACTGGTACTGGTTTGTACTGTACTGATGGAAAAACCAGTACACTAGCTGGTTTGGAATTAACAACATTGTTGTAGCATCACAATCAGATGTCGTAGCTATTTAGAGTACACAGCATCATTGGAGTTATGCTCCGTTATGCTTAAAGCAGTAATCTATGTAGCACGGACACGGACACGGGACACGACATGGACAAGACACGGATACGTAAAAATGCAAATTTTTAAAAAATAGGGGACACGACACGTTGGGGACACGTTTAATATATATAATTTTTTTTATATATTATATGTAAAATTAAAAAATATATACTATATTTATTTATTTTTATTTATTTATTATATGTAAAATTAAAAAATATACACTATTTTTATTCATTTATTTTATTTATTATATGTAAAATTTAAAAATAAATATATTATTTGTATTTATTTATATTATTTATTTACAAAAAAAAAGGTATAAAAAAGAAAAAAGAAAAAAAGAATAAAAGAGGGAGTGACGGTAATATAGGAAGAGGGGAGAAAAAGTGAAGAGAGTCAAACAAAAAAAATGGGAGAGAGGAAGAGGTGAGAACAGAGAGCGAGGAGATAGGAGACGAGAGGAAGAGGACTCGATCAGAAACGACGATCAGAGAGCGAGAGGCGAGAACAGAGAGAGAGGAGATGAAAACGATGAGAGACGAACACAGAGAGAGGAGACGAACAGAGACGCGAAAGAAATACCTCGATCAGAGACGAAGAGGCCTCAATCTAGGCTTCAACAGGTTCTTTCTCTTTCTCTCTTTCTCTTTCTCTTTCTCTTTCTCTCTCTCTCTCTCTCTCTCTATATATATATATATATCTTCAATGGGTTAGAGTTTCTCTGTCTCCTGGTTAGGGTTTATTTCTGTTTCTAACGTGTCCTCGACGTGTCAAGCGTGTCTGAAATAGTGTCCGCCTGCAAAAATTCAAAAAAAAAACAGGGACGCGTTAGGTCGAGTGTCGGACACGTGTCTACCGCGTGTCCGACGCATGTCCGTGTCCGACACCCATGCACTGCCTCCAAAGACGTGTCCGTGCTTCATAGGCAATAATCTTTTTAGAGTTCTCAATTCCTTAAGCATCCATGATTCATCTGCTCCCCCCTTCTCCTTCTGAACCACTAGAGACAATGCAAGTAGAACAAAATCTGATTGAAACTAACAAAATGCTTTGATACTTGTAGGAAAAACTAACATGATAACTTAGCTTTTTCTTCCCTATATAGGCTTTAATGTCATACTTGAACATTTATGGTGCTGAGATGATTTTGGACTATTTTGGGAAGATGGTTATAATCAGCTTTTTGGTAAAAAGCTACTTATAAGCAGCTTATAATCAGCTTTTTTGTGAGAGAGGAAGTGGGTTATAATCCGGGAAGTGGATTATAACCCACTTCCCAAAAGAGCCCAAAGGGCTATGTTGTTTTGTTCAACTGTTTATGATGGAAATATTGAAGTCTTTCTATTTGCGATTTGAGTGGCTGTTATGAGATCACGTATCTTCTTTTTCAAATGGCACATAGCATACCTATTTTGTGGGGTATTTCTTCGTTGTTGTCAGATTTGTGTGATTTTATAAAATTGTAGTTGAAGAATGTTTGCCCTATACAAGTAGAAGTTAATGTTGTTTTATTGATTTGGGCCTTGATCTTTTGGGCAGTAGTTGTCTCTGGATTTGTGCTTGTTTCTGTCACCTCCATTCCCCAAAATCAGTAGTATAGTTCTTTGAACCATTGTCTGTTATTAGTTGACTCACGATCCCACTTGTGATTTTCTTTTGCGAAATACAGGAAATTCTCCACTCAGAATGCTAGATGATTGACAAGATAATCTGAACATTGATCTGCAGCTTTGAATTAACCTCTTCTTGTACTGCTGATTACATAGACAATCCCATTTGATTGGGACACAGGATTTAGTTTGGTTTGGTCTTATTGCTTATTTTGTGGACGTAGATGGATGATGGTGGACAACATGAAAATGGGAGGCATAGGATGGATTTCTACAAAGGCGTGCACACTCCGGTAATAACAATGTCATGAACTTTTTGCAAATTAATAAACAAATTTATTAATTTGTCATGCACACTCCAGTCTTTTGCTGTTTAGTTATTCATTTTTTATTATTTTTATTTATCTTGCTTTTAGTATGCAATTCTAGTTTCTTCTGACTTGATACAAATGAATTTTCTTCTACTATTCCTTTTATTATTGCAGTGGAATATGATGCCTCAGTATCAGATGAAGGAAGCAAATGCCTTTTATATGAATAAGAAGATCATGCACATCATTGCTGAGAAGGATAATGCTATTGAGGAACGGAATAGGGCAACCTCTGAAAGAAATGCAGCCATAGAGGAGCGAAATGAGGCAATCAAGCAGCGAGATGACGCAATTGCTGCACGCGATACTGCCATCAGGGAACGAGACAGTGCAATTGCAGCCCTTCGATTCCAGGAAAACTCCATGAATTGTGGAATCCAACGTGGAACAAAACGCATGCATCATTCCTCAAACCATCCTGCGAGTGTTACTGAAGCTGCTTACAATGCAAGGGAAGCCCAAATTACTGATGCCATCCCAATAACAGCAGTTTCATCTAAAGCTGCCAAGTCATGCCAAGCAAAACGAGCAAAGGAGAACAAGGCTGCTCCATCTAACGTATCGAAACCACCTAGAAAGGGAAAGAAAGTGGGTGAGGATCTGAATAGGCATGTCACTACTGATGGGTCAAAAGCCGAGTGGGATGCTCAGGAGCTTGGTTTAATTAACCAGGTTACTTTTGACGAGTCTACCATGCCCGCCCCTGTTTGTTCATGCACTGGAGTGCCTCGTCAGTGCTACAAATGGGGGAACGGAGGGTGGCAATCCTCTTGTTGCACGACCACACTGTCGGTGTATCCGCTGCCTCAGATGCCAAACAAGCGACATTCACGACTTGGTGGCCGGAAGATGAGTGGAAGTGTCTTTAGCAGATTGCTCAGTCGGCTTGCAGCGGATGGCTACAATTTGTCAGTACCAGTGGATCTCAGGAATTACTGGGCCAAACATGGTACGAATCGCTACATTACCATCAAGTAACTTGTCGACTATCCTTGTGAGTGTAAATTTGTTTTTCTGTTTGAGCCTCTTTAGTGTCCAAGACTTGCTGATCTCTTTAACCTAGATGTTGATGAACCAGATAAATGGAAAGATGATGGAGCTCCGGTCCAAGCACCTTTGCTTGACATGGAACTTCTTATCATGTGACTGAAAAAAATGTTTATCCCCCTTCTAAGGGGAGATTTTGTAGACTTTTGGAATTTGTACAAATGGTGTCTGATTATGGATGAAGGTAGTTTTTGTGACATTGACCTTCAATTCCGTTATTCACTAAAGAGGAAGGTTGTCAATTTGAGCTATACCCTATAGCTTTACGGATATGTATCCGTTTGACCCACTGTTAACTCCTCCCTAAACTTTCCCCAAACTTCTCATTTGGATTCATGATCAGTATAGTTGGAATAGAAATGATCGTGATCATCTAATTTTCCTGGTTGATCTCCATCACTCCATGAATTTGCTCTAACAGAAAAGGTTTCTCCCTCTTCATCTTTCCCGGCGATGTAGATTTTTACTATGAGTTTGACTATCTTTGTCATCCCGTTTCCCCCATCCATCCCGAGTCTGAATCTGAAGGCTCTGATACTGATACAACTGATCCTGACCTTTCGGCTACGATTTGTTTGGATCTCAGATTTGTGGAGGAAAAGTAAAGGGAAGGGAAATGTAGATGAAGTAGATTATTTTGTTTTATTTTTATTTTTCTTGGGTTTTTAAAATCATTTTTCCTTCTTTTTTCCTGGCTCTCAATAAATTAAAGATCCAAACATAGTATTGACAATGTTGAGATGAGTCTTTTTGTCTCCTCTCTCATGGGTTATGGTAATGGGTAGTGGATAATTCTGGAAGAATAACATTTTACTCTTTATCTTTGTTCAACATCAATGAAGGGTAGGTTGGAACTTGGAACAATTAGAGAAGTTTTTAAGGTAAAAAGTACGAAAATTTGTTTGGTTTGCCTTTTTTTAGAAATGATTTTGAAAAATTGTTTTGGGAAGAGAATTTTAAAAAAAAGTGATTGATTTGATGTGTTTGAGAGAGAAAGAATAATTTTGGAAAATAAGTAACTAAACAAAATTTTGAGATTTTTTTTAGAAAAATTTGTTTGGTTTGATTACTCTTGAAAATTTGTTTATAAAGAATTTTTTTTTTTTAATTTTTTTGAAAAATAAACCAAACAAGGCCTTTGTGTTTTTGAGTCACGAAAGGGGAATTAATTTAACCAAATGGAAGAGAACTCAGACCATATGTAAATTAAAGCACCAATTCCCACAAAAGCCAGAGATCTTGTTGCTAAAGTACAAGGCCAAACTTCTAATAAATGCCTTAAGTCTTGACTTTTACACTTGGTTGTTCATCTACCATAAAGAAACTGTTTGGGCTTGGGTCTTTTGGGTTGCAAGTCGGGTTTGAGCAGACAATTATGGGTTACAAGTTAGGTTTGGACAACGTGTGTTCCACTCACTTGTTGGGGTCATGCATCTAGATTTTCCACGTCTGAAATCAATTTCCCTCTTGTTGGGAGCTAGTCTTGATGAATAAAAACAAAAGTTGCGCTCATTAGATATCTTTTGATTCCTCCTGTCCTTTGTACAATTATTAATTGTCTAAGAATTTGAATTTTAATTCAAATTTTTTAATTTTTCTCTAAATTTTTTTTAATTGTTCTAGTTGAATGTGTTCAAGCTCCAATCTTAATTTTAGGTAGGGTTTCATTTTATAAAAATTGAATTAAAATCTCATATATATATATATATATATTTAAAGAATTTTAAATACAAATTCTTGGTATGTATTTGACCATTAAAATTTTCCCTACTTAAAATTAAGGTAAATTACACTTTATCTTTTCAATAATCACTTTTTTTCCCCTTTATCCTGTCAAATTAAAAATTAATGCAATCTATTCTTTTATTTTTTTAAAATTTTTAAGCCAAGTTTGGCACGAAGTCAAAAAGTTATTCAAAAAGTTAAAAAATTATCACTATTTATCAAAAGTCAAAAAGGACGACTGTATAACTTTCAATTCTAATTTTCTTTTATACACTAATTTATATAATTTTTTAATACACATTTATTCATAAAAAATTAAAAAGTTAACCTCAATAATTATATATATATTTTTAACTTTTTAATTCAAAAAATTAAAAAAGTACACTTATTTAGGACATTCTAAATAATCCTTTAATCTAATCATTAGACCTCAATCGATAATGTATAATTTATTCTAAAATTAAATTGCAAAATTTCAAAAAATCAACTATTGAAATGTCACATCAAAATGGCACCCATTCGCTCTAAAAATGGTCACCTTAGGCATTTATGACTTTGGACCCTCTAGTCTATACTCAGATGTGACAAAATAAGATGTTACAAACGACGTCGTCCACATTGTAACCTCATCCAAACCGTGTCGTTTTCATTGGGCCGCATGGGCTTCATTATCCACATTAAATGGGCTTGGCTAATTTAAAGTGGGCCACATTAGCCTAATCTAATGTGGGCCCATGTCAACTTTTTATGGTGGGTCTTTGACAAATGTCCTTCATGAGGATAAGGTGGCATTTATTGCCGAAGCAGTAAGAATGCACCACGTGGTCGACACGTGTTCAGATCTGGTACGCTAAATAATTAGAAGTCAACTTTGATGACACCATTAGAGATATACTATTTACGAACTGTGCACGTTTTGATGGAGGTGGAGATCACGAGAGGCACAGAGTCCTCTGTAAATTCTGATGCACGTTATCGTACAGTATCTTTATTTATTTTTAAATATTAATAATGTACGTATTTAAAAAAATAATTGAAATATATGAAAAATAGATTAAAATATACAACAATGATAGAGACCACTAATTTTGGAGCTCTAAAAAGACCACTAGTGACATGACGCTCAATAAAAAAAGAAAAAAAAATACAACACCAAGGCCAAAACATCAAATCATTCATGATGGGGCCTACTGTCACATCATTAGTGGTAGCACTAATTAGTGCTACCACTCATTTTCCTAAAACATATTCACAGTGTTGAAATTTTAATTATTTTAAAATTATTTTTACTTTGACAAACAGTTCACACTTTTTATTTTATTTTATTTTTGTGTATAATCCTTTTTATCTAAAATATTTAATAAATTTGTGTTTTTTTTTTAATTAAATAAAAGTGAAACAATACTTCTAGTCTTTATGGCAATTATCTCATCAAATTTAATTATTCCCATCAAAATTAGTAATCAAAATCAATGATACTAAATTTTACCAATTTTGAAATTCCCAAATCAATCCCTAATGATATGAGAAGCACTCATTAAATAATTTTTATATTTTAACCAGTTCTCAAATGATAGAACTTATGACACATCATTTGAGATTAGTTTGGGAGTCTAAAATTAGAAGTTTAAAACATTTCCTAATCCAAATATACCACATCATTAAAAATTATCCCAAATGAGATTGGGTACATCAGAATTTGTAATTTTGATGAAAGGGGGGCTAGAATTCTTGAACCATAACTAGGTAGAGGTGCAAAGGTAATTAAGTTTAATAAAAATTATAATTACTATAATTTGGGTTAGATTTTGCTCATTCACTTCAAAATAAGGTTGGTATTTAATTATTGAGTAAATTACACTATTGGTACCTCTAATTCGAACAAAATTTTACAAGAAAGAAGCGGATTATTTAAAAATATGGTAATAATGATATTAGATCAAGAAACCAATCACAGAAAAATATCAACAAAAAAAAAAAAGTGTGAACCAAATTTATTTTAATTACATGTGAAACTTATAATACAAAACATGAATTTAGATTATTTTCTTTATACTTTTTAGTAATTTTTCTTGATCTCTAGTATTTTTGTATTAAAAGATAACTTTATCAAAATGTATCAATTTTCAACCAAATATTCTCTCCCCAAAAACAGGAAGAATATGAGAAAAAGACTGATAACGGTTTAGAAAACTCATAAAATTTTCAATTTACTTTTTTTTCCCCTTTCTATTCTATGCGTTGCACACGCAAAAGAAAACTTAAAAATTTCTCTTCCTATCCATATAGTAGTTTATATACTTGCTCCCTCCACTTTCTTCCCCTCTACCTAATATTCTTCAACCTAACATATTTATCTTAAGAACAACTCCATTACCACTGCCCTTTTCTTTTCTTTTTTTAATTTTTTTTTTTTATGTCTATCATTTGATTGGATATGATCAATGATAATAAAAAAATGATTTTATATTTTTTTAGAGGATGTATAAGACTATAATAATTACTTAAAATAGATATGGGTGTCTTAAGAAAATTGTTGGAGCTAATTTTTTGAGATAAAAGTGCCTTAAATTATTTAAAAAATAGGAACGGAGAAGTTTTTTGAGATGCTTTTAACATTTCTATATGTAGACACAAGATTCTTTGTTCCTAAACAATAATGCTAGGGGCCATAAAAAATATATCATGAAATTGATCATGAATATTTTTTATCTCTAGATTAGTGTATGGTATTTTATTGTATAGATAATCAAAAGGTAAAAAATCTTTTATAATTATTTTCATGATATTTTTTTTCATAATTTCTAACCTTACTCGTTCCCAAAAGGTGTTTGTTGCATATACTTAGAGTTAATATTAAAATAAAGCTATTGAGGTTATGGTGTTCATTTGCTTCTCCCAAAATAATTTGTCCTAACCTAACATGTAGATATCATCTACTGTGTTTGCAATGCTCAGCGCTAAGGTCTAGCTCTAGCCCATTTCTCATCGCCCAAAATACTTTATGTGACTCTAATAATCCGGCTAAATTTCCTTTAAACATTGGGTTATGTGACAATTTTGTAGTTGCATGAAATTTTGAGACATATAATCAAACGAGTTTGAACGAATTAAGACAAAAGACAGTTTTTGGAACAAAATCCACATGCATGATATATAGCCTAATCGATGGTGACAAAGGGAAAGAAAGGATGGGATTTGGTGTTCAATTTTTCAAAAGAAAAAAGAAAGAAAATAAATAAATCACATTTTGTCTACTTATTCTCAAATTAAACATGATCAATGATATGCATGTGTTCAAAGAAAAAGAAAAAAAGAAAAAAAGATCAATAATATATGGTCAATATATCAAGGGTAAATTACGAACATACCTCCTGAAATTTACTTAAGTTACAAATTACTTCATGTGGTTTTAGAAATTACATTATGTTCCTTAAGATTTTTAATTTTATAATAAATAGATCATTTTATTAATAAATCATCAAGTTAATTAATAATTTTTAATAATGTTAAAATTTTATTTCAATTAATAATTCAGATAATTTTATTATTGTACAGGTGAACAGTTAGAAATTTTACTTTTTTAATTAATTCAGTTAAATAAAAAAAATTGACAATGAGGTATTTTTGATTTTCTAAACCATAAGGAGTAATTTATATTTTAAATAAATCTCAGGATATATTAATTAACTTGATGATTTATTAATAAAATGATTCAGATAATTTTATTATTGTATAGGTGAACAGTTAGAAATTTTACTTTTTTAATTAATTCAGTTAAATAAAAAAAATTGACAATGAGGTATTTTTTATTTTCTAAACCATAAGGAGTAATTTATATTTTAAATAAATCTCAGGATATATTTATAATTTACCCATATATCAATCTTAAAATTAGGAGTTCATATTCCTTATTATCTTATTAACAAAAGAGAAAAGAAAAAAGAAAAAAGAAAAAAAAGGTTGGTTATGACTATTCCTGCTTGGTTCTTCAACTGCTCACATTGCCGGTGGGAGATTGATGGTCAAGCAAGTTAGGTTACTTTTTTATACTTCTTTTATGTGTAACCCACCAAGTGAAAAAAAGTAAGAGGGAGGGAGGGAGGGCTATAGTATAATAGTAACGCGGTAATTTAAAGATTAATTATTAAAAAAAAAGGGCTCCAATTGCAAGTTGATTAACTAGAAAAATGATTCTGATGTCTCGTTTAACAACATTATTTGTTAATTTAAAATTCAAAAAATCGTTAAAAAAGTTAAAAAAATTAACAATTTATACAAAAAAAAATCAAAGATTCTATTTTCTTTTTACTTTTTGTATATCTTTTAATAAAAAATAAAAAATTCATTCCAAACATACTAATTTTTTTACATCATATTATAATAAAAAAATTAAAAAATTACTTAAAAAGTCTGTTCCCAAACGAGGTGTAAATGTCAATATATATATATATATATATATATCAATTATAAAGAGGAAAATGGGGCTAATTAAGCCTAACTTCTTGACATCTTCTTAAAAAAAAAAAAAAAAACATAAACATTAGCATGTTCAACTTGTCAGGTGATTGTATATTCATCTCATAATAAGATTATACATAATTAATTTGTCTAAAATATAGGAGATAATATTAGAGAAATTAATAACATGGGCCAATACACTTGGAAGGGTGGGCTAATATAGGATAATTTATGTTGAAATAACATTTGAGATTAAAAATATATAATTTTTTAATATAAGAATTAAAGAAAACACAACGATTTTTTCATTTCTCAAATATGAATCAAGCCATTGAACATTATTTATGAAAAATTAAAAAATAACTTTCAAGGCAAACAGAGAGTTGGCAGCACTTTCCTTTCTTTTATTGTTATTTAATCAAAATACGGCAATAAACCATAATGATTAAGTTGCCAACATAATTTTATTTGAATTCAAGGCATCTAGTAAATAAACTTTTAATATATGCATTTAATGAACATTTTCTAAATGTAATGATTCCCCCATAAAGGGAAAGTGAGTTGGAATGAATGAATACATAAAAATAAAAATCTCATTGTCATAAATAAAATAACTATCAATAAGAAGATTACTAAATTAATGGTATCCATGTGTTTAAAATGATAATTAATCATCTATGAGAAATATTAATGACCCACATTTTTTTTTACTTTTATAAATAGTTTAGGAACATGAGATAATATTTTCATTCCTCCTCTTTATTTATACAACAACCTTGCAAAAAACTTAATAATATCATAGAAAGCCTACTAACTATGAAAGAGTAATTAATTAATAAATCACATTGAAATTGGGCTTTACTAAATACCTTTATCGGTAATAATGTACTTAATTAAATAGTGTTGCATTAAATTTGCTCCTATAATTTGGAAGATTTTATTACTATTATTATTGAATAGTCAGAACAAAAAATAAGGGATTATTCATTTTAACAGTCCAATGTAGAAAAAGAAATAATAAGTAATATTAGAATTAGAATAATCAAATAAAATTTACTTATCAAATAACAACATGCTATGTTTTACTATAGTAATTAAAGGTGGAATTTATGCCACAAATTTAATGATGACACATTATTTAAAAGAAAATTAGATATACAAATTTTGACATCGTATTAAAAAAAATTACAACTTTTTTCGGTCTTTACAAGAAATATACTACTAATAATTGCTCAACAAATACTTATTGGTCTCCATAGTTGTAACATGAAATTACTTTAAGATTACCAAATAAATTTTAATAAATGTAGATAATATTTTCAAAATCCATTAAGACATTAACAAATTAAGAATGAACATGGTTCGAATTGATTTGATTCATGGTAAATCCATGACAAAATCATAAAAATATTGAAAGCAAATCAGGCTGACCTAGTAAAATGTAATTGTGTTCTATTTAAAAAAAAAATAATATATATATATATATATATTTAAACAGTTTGATACCTACACTATACATTGAAAAAACAAGTCTAATCATATCAATTTGTGATTTTTTTTTTTTGGTTTATTTCTTTCCTTACTTCTGTGACAAATTATTGTATAAACTCAAAGGATTATGACAACTTGGTAAGCTCTTGAGGTATATAAGTCTTGAGATCTCTAATTTCATTCTTTTCGTAGCCAGTCACCCGGGCGATATTACATACGGTTGATAAGTGAATTTTTTAGGCTTGAATAAATTGTATCCAATATTAGAAGTGTGAGTTTGAATTCTCATTTATATTTGAGTCTGTAACTTATTACTACATAATAGAGTGAACTATTATGTAAACACCACCTAAGAGTGACTTCTGAGTAGGCCTGTCAACGGATCGGGTATAACCCGAATCCGATCCGATTAACCTGATCCATTTATACATATCCGAATCCGAAAATCTGTTTAATCCGAATCTGCATAGCCCGATTTAAAACGGTTCGGATTCGGATAAATTCGATCCGGTCCATTTGTTTGCCTAATCCGATTGAATTCCTAGAAACCATATCAGATCTCTCAGAATCAAATCTCTCTCATCGTCTCTTTCATCATTTCTCATCAAAGAATACCTAGATCTCTCTCGTAATCAAATCTCTCTCTAATCGTCTCTTTCTACTCCGATTGACGACGGTGAACGTAGCCAAATCGAGCTCTGTGTCGTTTCTGATCTAGGTATTATTCGGTGAGCTCTCTGGTCAATATCAAATCTATCTTTCATCATCTTCTTCTCCGACTTCTCTGATCTAGGTATTCTTCGGTGAGCTCTCTGATCCGTTATTGTATCTACTTTTTACTGCCTTGTGCTTGTGTTTCTCCTTTATATAAGAGGTCTGGGTTGTTTGTTTGAATGGAAAATCAATTTTGAAACATTTTCTTGGATGCTTTTGGGACTCTCTATATTTGTTATTTGATGGGTACTTTGGGTTGTTTGTTGAATGTAATATCATATATTTGTTATCAGTTTTGAATCAGGGGGTCGGTTGATTTATTTAAGCTGTTTCAACTTGGTGTTTTGTTGTCTAGTAGGCTGTGTTTTTTCCACTGTTTCCCTCATATTTTCCTTTCCATTTTCAAATTATTACCCCAATTCCATGACCCAAACACGGCCTTACTACATAGCAGTTTATATCTAGTCAACTCAGGATATGAGGAAGGAGAATTGCTACATAGCAGGACAGGTGAATGTTAATTCTATTATAGATTACAGTTGCTATATTTTTCACCTCAATGTGGAGACAAGAAAATGTGTTTATCTATATAAATTTTTATCTTAATTTTCACTTTTTATCTCAATAAATATTGGTATTATAATCTATACTGTCATTCTAAAATTTCTCTTCTATGTTAGATTCATGGGTCTGGTCTATCTTTGTATTTTTAACTAATTTCAATATAATTTTCTGCTTTCTCACACAGGTAACTTCACAAGCCAACATAACATGAAATTTGTGAAAGGAAAACACAATAGAATATAGTATAATTTTATTTTTATTTTTTTTAAAGTTGATGGATCGTTAAACCTATAGTCTTTGTTTGCAAAGTAAGATGGTTTAGGCTCTGTGAGGACTTTTGCAAATTAAAGAGGGCTCAATTTCCTTTCTCTCATATTCCAAGAATCAAATGAAGAGAAAAATGAAAAACTAATTATAGAACAATAATATGATTCCCACAAATTTGGTTAAGTTCATCAGTATTTTAAATCAAGAATTTTATTTCACTTCACTTACACAAAAATATTAACTAATTAAGTAGAATCTTAAAAACAATTAACACCAATTAGAGAGGAAGAGAGGGTTACCTTCAATAGACCCCATAAATGCACTGCAATTTGTATCCTCTATAATTACTCCCAAATAATATAGATGACTGGTGTCCATAGGTTTTGGAAATTGTGGGTCTCAATGATAGGATGTTGGTTTAAATTCCCTTGTAGTACATGCATCTTTAGAGCTCCACCATCTTATATATCTTCCACTAATTATATATCTATTATGGTTGGTGCATTATACCATCTTATATATCCTCTGCAAAGACTTAGTAATGGGATAACTGCTTATCAGTTTTGTTGTTTTTAAATGAATTCCACATGCCTTTACAGTAGATTGATCACATGCACACAAATCTATATAATTTCCAAATTGGTGCACACTGTTTTTAAATGAACTCCTTCTCCTTTATGTTTGATTTCTTGTGCAGTGCATATTTGAGTTTTTGAGCCAAAGATGTCTTCGGATTATAGCGAACCTATTATTCCTGATGATGCCGAGTTGGATGACGATGTATCTCAAGGATCCACAAAGAGGATTCGAAAACTAACTTCGAAGGTATGGGATGACTTTGTCAAATTTAAAGGACCTAGTGGAAATGACATAGCTAGATGTAAGCATTGCAATAGGGAATTTGTTGGAGAGAGTAGGAAAGGGACTAGTCATTTAAAAAATCATTTGTCGAAGACATGTCCAGTACTTAAAGGGCCAAATGCCCCTAGGAATGCTAGTAAGGCTGCTTCTGAAACTACTCCTAAGGCTGCAACTTTTAAATTCGATCAAGAAAGAAGTCGTATGGATTTTTCTAGGATGATAATCAAGCATAATTATCCTTTTAACGTGGCTGAGCATGAGTTTTTTGAAATATTTTGCAATAATCTTCCACCAATGTTCAAACTTGTGTCTCGTAACATTGTTAGAGCGGATGTCCTTGATGTTTATGAAATAGAAAAGGCCAAGTTATATAAATTTTTGGATGAACTCTCTTCTAAGATCACCTTGACAACTGATATATGGACTTCAGACCATCAGAATTTTGCCTATACACGTTTGACTGCCCATTATGTGACTAATGATTGTGAGTTAAAGAAGAAAATCCTTGCTTATAGACGCATTGATTACCCGTATGATGGAGACCATTTGTTCAGTTTTATCAAAGATCTAATTTTAGAGTGGAACATAGATAAGAAGTTGTTTTCAATGGTAGCTGATAATGCGACGAGTAATGATGTCATGGTGAGACTCTTAAAGCGATGGCTACATGACCAAGGATTACTACATTTGGGTGGACAGTTGTTTCATGTGCGTTGTAGCGCGCACATATTGAATTTAGTTGTTCAGGATGGTTTGAAGGTGATTGGGAGTCTTATTTCAAAAATTCGAGAAAGTGTGAGATATTTGGGGAGGTCTCCTTATGGAAAACAAAAATTTGATGTTGCAGTGAATCATGTTAAGTTACATCATAAAAAGAAAGTCCCCATGGATGTTCCTACCAGATGGAACTCCACTTATTCAATGCTTGAAGCTACATTGGATTTGAAAACTGCATTCCACCGCCTAGGGCAAATTGACAAACAATATAAGCACAATCCTTCTGAGGATGAGTGGAATGTAGCAAATGTGATTTGTGGGTGCTTAAAGATTTTTTTTGATGCTACATCTCACTTTAGTGATACCACTTTTCCTACTTCAAATGTGTTTTTTCCCGATATTTGTCTTATTCAACTTGAAATGAAAAAATGGGAGCAAAGTGAGTATGATTGCATTCAATTGATGGCTGGTTCAATGAGAGTGAAATTTCACAAATATTGGGAAGAATGTCCTTTGGTTTTAGCAATTACAGTGGTTCTTGATCCGAGATTTAAAATGGACTTGGTGGAATATTACTTTGGGCTTATTTATGGTGCTGATGCTAACAAGCATATTCAGAGGGTCCGTAATGGTTTTTTTGATCTTTTTTATGAGTATAGGAGTGATTCTTCTGATTCTATGAGTAGCATTGCACTTGTTTCTGAAAATAGTTGTTTAATTACTGTATTGGCTTCCGCCAGGCCCTGTACTCTGTTTTACTGTATTACTGTTAAGCAGGCCTTCGGTAATCTCGGATTACTGGCCGGTTACGGTGCAAAACCCATAGGGCCGGGTTTGGGTCGTGACAATTTATGCCTATCAAAAATCAGAAGTGGAGCAATACTTGGAGGAGTTGGTGTTTCCAAGTAATGAGAGCTTCAATATTCTACATTGGTGGAAAGTTAATAAAGCAAAATTTCCTACTTTGGCAAGGATGGCTCGTGATGTTTTAAGTGTTCCTGCTACTACGGTTGCATCAGAGGCGGCGTTTAGTGTAGGAGGTAGGGTGATTGATGAGACACGTGCTTCATTACTTCCAGATATTGTGGAGGCCTTGATCACTTGCAATGATTGGATTGAATCAACCAAAAATAGAAGTAAGTCAAATATTGAAGTTTTTAAATAATTAGATGTTATTTAGTTTAGTTCTATAAATATCTTAATGTCACATTATTTTGAAATTGCAGAAGTAGAAGAATGCTGACATGAGTAGATGGATTGAATTGAATCACTTGAAGTAGATGGGTAAATATGGTTCATATTATGGGGCTTGTCCCATGCCTTTATAGTGATCTATGAAATTCGTATCTGACATAATTTGATAATCTGTTTGCATATTAAGGTAATAGCTTTCTTGATTTGCAAGTTTGATAATGAGCTTAACAAAGTGGTTGCTATTAAAGTTCTGATTCTTTCCTGGTTTAGTAGTTATAAAATTTAAATGTTCAAAGATCTTGCACACAGTTGGGGAGGCCTTTGAAAAAGTAATTTTGGGGCCATTTCATGGTGGGTTTAAAATCTGACGCCTCAACTTTTAAGGTGTTAATTGGGGACACTGGTTCCTGTGAACCCCATAAAGTAAAGGCAGCCTGAACCCTGGTAGAGTTGCTGGTCCTTAATCTGCTTTTATGTCCAGGTGTTGAACTTCCTTTCCCATTTCTCCGCGCTGTTAAATTGAGCATTTGGCATATACACGTCTTCTTCCATAATTAGGCCGGTTGCTGACAAAATGATTAGCTAAGTAACAAAACTATATTTACTTATACCCTAACTTGCTTTTAGGTTCGGGTTTTGAATTTCTTCACCTATGTTTTTGGGCTGTTAAATTGGGCGAGTGACCTATGGATGTTTTACTCTCTCATTATATGGCATATTCCCATCCTCATACATGTTTGTTTGTATTGGCTACTCTTCGGCAGTGTTAACTAATTCTTGAAGCTTAGGAAACAATGTAGCAAGCACCTAGTAATTTAGTTTGAAACCTAGTTATATATGCTGTGGGCTAATCATGATACGCTGGGACTCTGCTTGACTGTTGAACTTGTTATATTATGAGGTTTTCTGACACATACTTCTCAGAAATGCAAGGGAAGCATATTCATTTTTGAATTCAATCTTATGAATTTCTTGCGTACTAATTTTCATGGTTCTGATTATTTTTCAACCCATCTCTCTCATCGTGCCGCATCGTTTTGAAGCATAAAGTTTTATCTTTAGATAAGATTATGTATTTTAATTTGATCTTGATTGCCATTGTTAGGGTCCAGTAAGCATCACATGTTTGTAGCCCTGTTTGGAAAGGGTGAGGGTGAGTATGACATTAGAGTGGTTGTATGCCTAATTGAGGAGGTGGCTATGTTAATAGGTCATGCATGGTACTTCATTTATATGTTAATAATGGTTAGAACTTAAAAGAACAGAGTCTGCACATGGTTTCTTTAGGTGACACTGTGACAGTGTACAACCTGATGGTGTCTATCAAATGTCAAGGTCTCTGTGAGTCTACTACCTTTCTAGGTTGTGGCACTCTAATTCTCATGTAGCATGTTTTTTTTATGCTAGTTTGTGTATATTATTGCTATTTATTTACTGTTCTGCACATTGTTTGCGATCTTTATATTGGACGCTGGAATCGTAGGAAACCCTCGATCAAATATTCAGGCCTGAGTATTTTTTTGTGATGCAACTTTGTGGACTCAGGCCGTGTTGGATATCTAGCTTAAAGGATGAGGTTGGTTTTGACCAGATTATAGAAGACTGATTTGAGCTCACAAGTGCTACTTCTTTGGATTGGTAGTATTGTGTTTGATTTGGCAGTAGATAATAGAATTTGTATTCCTGCGTGATTGTTAATCCAAATAATGACCATTCATGCTTTATGATTCTTGATAGGTGTGGTACTATTTTTGCTGCTCTTTTCTCAACTTATTCCCACATTACTTCCATCTTTTTAAAATTTGAATACTCATTAATTTGTGTGGTACTGTTAGGATAATGTCGGTAACTCCTTGATTTTATATATTGCTCTAACTGTGGCAAAAAATGAAAGAGGGTTTTTTTTTTTTTAACCTTCCCGTTTAGAAATTAGTTATTTTAGTTAGTTATTTAACTTTTTACTAAAAAAATATACAAAAAGTAGAGAGAACTGAGATAGTTTGCAGTGATTTTTTTGACTTTTTAACTACAAACCCAAGTCTCCAAATAGGTATGGATCTTTTTATTGTTTCTTTAAAATATAGATTTGGTTGATTCATAATTGTTAGGTATGTAATCGATTTGGCTCTAATCGAACATGGTTGAGAAAATTTAACACTGAATTGAATCTTCCATTTTGTTGATTGAGGAATTGAGGTTGACCATACATTTATATAGATAAAAGTGAAGTTAATCTTTGAACTTGAATATATTGTCGCTAATTTATGTTCAAAATAGCTGCTTTTGAAGTTTGGGCTATTTCATGAGTATTGATTGAGGTGCTTGTGTTGTTTTCTCTATGCAGGTTGAATCATTGGAATCGACAATTGAAGCTTTAATGACTAAGAACTCACTGCAATTATCTTTTTTTTGACTCTGTTGACAACACAGCATTGCTTTTGACAGTTTGTTATCCAATTACAGTGTCCTGTTTTTGATCCAACAAATTTAGAAGAGGAGAAGAATATGCTGAAAATAAACTATTTACGTAATCAACCTTGTCAGATTGAGGCATAGTCTGTTCTTCTTCACGGTTGTATTTTGTGATAGTTAATTCGGTTGTATAGGTTGTGGTTTTGTCTATTATTGAGTCCTCTCAATTACCTTGGAAAATGCTGTAGTGATGGTTCTTCTTGGGAAACCCTTCCTTTTCATGACCTTTAATTTCAATTTTTTCTTGTGTGCAATATGTTGGCTCAAGAAGATTTCCAAGTTTATCAAATCTGCAGCTACTTTCATGTTCATTTGGTTGTTGGGATTTATGCATGTGTAGTAGACTTTCATACATTCATTTTCTACACACAGGTAATCACCAATGACAAATACAAGAGTGTGCTTCACAGAGTCATAGCACAAACAGATGGAAACAGGATGTCCATAATTTCAATTTTTCCTTGTGTGTAATATGACATATTTGGAATTCAATTGTATTTGTTAGCAGCAGTTCATTGGAACTCAAGAGTTGATGTTTTCTTGATGGCAGTTGTACTTTTTAACCCTCCCTCCTCCCAAAAATGCAAGATGAAGTGGTGGTTTTTTTCTTAAATCACCTTTGGCATTTGTTCTTGCAGTTTCAAATATGTCAAGTTCTTCAAAACCACCACTGGTAGTGGCTATGGCTGCTAACCATAGAGAAGAGGGGGAGGAAAAAAAAACAAAAACAAAAACAAAACCAAAACCAAAAAAAAAAAAGGATCGGATCGGATATCCGTTTAACACGGATCGGATCGGGTTGTAAGTAGTCGGATTCTTAATAATCGGATTCGGATTCGGATTATTGATTAATCGGATCGGATCAGATTTCGATAGATCCGACTCGGATCCGACCCGTTAACAGGCCTACTTCTGAGCATTTGAGGCCCCGACTCCTTAAAATTTAACGCCAAAGATTAGCCCTCCATGGTTAGGCATTTTTTTTCGAATTATTGTACAAGTGCTTTACACGTGCTATGAGAGTCGCGTGTGGGTATTGTGACACTTGTAATTCAAGAAACATATAAATATATATTTTTCTCTAGAGAGATTTATTGCTACATAATCTGCGGTGATGGAGGGAGAAAAAATTTGACAAATTTGGTCGGAATGAAATTTAAATTTGTCCCAAATGCAAATTTCTCCATGTCCCCAAATGAAATTCATATTAAATTCACGCGTAGTTGCAGTCATAAACTCCGTGTTGTAGTAGCATCGATATAGAGCGAGAAAGAGAGAACAAAAACCAAACAATATAGAGAGCGGAAGTGTAGAGAAGTAGAAGAAGAACAAGCTCAGGGAGAGAAGAGAGTAGAGAGAGAGAGGAGAGAGGCTTCGCCTGCAGCTTTGTTGTTTCCGACATTTTCGAAAACATTGTTTTGAACACTTTCTCACTCTGCTAACTTGCGCCCAAGGTACATAAACTGTCACTTTCTTCTCTTTGATTCGATTAGAATTTCATTGTTAGTTTGTGAATTCATTTCTAGATTCTAGGGTTTGAAAAGATCAATTTGTTTTCCTTGTATTTTTACTTTTGCTTTTGATTTTGACATATGAGCCTGGATTGAGATGTGTATAGCTCTGTGATTCAGGTGGGGATGAACTGGTTGTTTAGGGGTTTTTGAAAGGACATTAGAATCTATAAATATTGGTTGGAAACAAAATGGGTGATACTGAAGATGGAAATGTTGATATGATGCAAAGGCTACAATCTTCTTTTGGTACTTCATCTTCTTCACTTAGAAAACAACCCATAAATCAACTGGACATACCTCAGTTCAATACTTCACAAATTCGTGCTCCGATGAGACAATTTTCACCCAATTTCAATGTTGAAAGTAGTAAAAGAGTCGGTATACCGCCGTCCCATCCCCAAATCCCTCCTATTTCACCTTACTCCCAGATCCCGGTCACCCGGCCGACAAATCAGCAAGTGGGTTCTCAGAATTTCAGCCCCGGACCAACCCACTCGCGATCTTTGTCGCAACCCACATTTTTCTCATTTGATTCCCTGCCCCCAATGTGCCCATCACCCTATCGGGACTCACCATCGAGTTCTAATTCGGGACCGGTATCAACTGATGTATCAATGGAGGATAGAGATGCAAACTCGCATTCTCTATTGCCTCCCTCGCCTTTTACGAGGGGTAATTCTTTGAGGGTAGGGGAGAGTCTTCCTCCTCGCAAAGCTCACCGGCGATCCAATAGCGATATTCCATTTGGGTTTTCGACTATGATGCAGTCTTCGCCGCCCCTCATCCCGGTAAGGGGTGGCTCTGGTGGTGTAGATAATATGTCTTTGTCTGGTAGAGACAATTCGGGTGCTAAGCCAATTCAGTTGGTTAAAAAAGAGACAAGTTGGGAGAAAGGCAGTGAGGGCAACGGAGAAGGAATGGGTGAGAGGAAATCAGAAGGAGAAGTCGTGGATGACCTATTTTCAGCTTATATGAATTTGGAAAACATTGATACATTGAACTCATCCGGTACAGATGACAAGCTGTCTAATGAGAATCGTGAGGATTTAGATAGTAGAGCCAGTGGAACAAAGACAAATGGAGGCGATAGCAGTGATAATGAAGCAACAAGCAATGTAAATAAAAGTGGCCGTGGCTTGCAGAGGCCAGGTATGGGTTCTTCGACTGAGAACAGGGAAGGGATCAAAAGGAATGCAGGGGGAGATATTGTTCCAACCTCCAGACACTATAGAAGTGTTTCCATGGATAGTTTTATGGGGAATATGAACTTTAATGATGAGTCCCTGAAAATGCCACCTTCCCCTGGGATACACCCTGGACAAATGTCTCCCAGTGATTCAATGGATGGAAATTCAAATACCTTTAGCTTGGAATTTGGAAATGGCGAGTTTAGTGGGGCTGAACTCAAGAAAATTATGGCAAATGAGAAACTTTCTGAGATTGCATTAACCGACCCTAAGCGGGCAAAAAGGTAATATATTCTTGAATTTTGTCTCATTCAATCCAATGGAAGAGTATAACTATATGGTACACTAAGTGATTGGTTGGTTGATGTAGGATTTTGGCGAATCGTCAATCGGCTGCTCGTTCCAAAGAACGGAAGATGCGGTATATTTCAGAGCTGGAGCACAAGGTTCAGACATTACAGACAGAAGCAACCACATTGTCTGCCCAACTTACCCTGTTACAGGTAGGTGTTGGTGGGCTGTAAATTTGTTTCATGTCCAATTTGTTTGTTGCCAATGTCTTACTGTTGTTTTCTTCGTATTGTCTTGTAGAGAGATTCAGCTGGACTTACAAACCAAAATAATGAGTTGAAGTTTCGCCTACAAGCCATGGAACAGCAGGCACAACTCCGAGATGGTATCATACATTTCCAACTTGTCTAAATCACTGCTTTTGCAATGAATAGAAAGATCAGAAATTTGATCATGTGCATAAAACAGATATTGCAAATACCTGTATATTTTTTTGTTTCTACATAAATAATTTAAGTGGTGCATGTTGTGATTACTGAAATAAATTACAGACCTTATGTCTTTGTTTCTTCTTCTTTTTGGTTTTCCAGAGACTGAAAAACAGTTTATGCATGTGCTGAGTTAATGTTTGTTTCATAGATAAAATCTATAGGCGTCTCTGCTAGGTTGGTTGTGTGCTGCTTCAGTTGGGGCTAACAGGAGAAACCATGTTCTCAAATGGTCATCACAAATAAGAAATTTACTTAAAACATACAATATTAGGTTTGTTAGACTTAGATTTCAATGTGTAAGCTGTATTAGTTTCATATTCAAATTTTTTTATCACCTCTTTTTATGGGATTATGTGAGCTAAAAAACTGGATCATATCCAATATGTTTGCACAAAATTTGTACATGTTAAATTGTATGAAATGCATGTGCAGAAAAGCTTGCATAATGTTTTTAAAAGGTTGAATCATATAGTATAATGGCTTTTCATTTTCAATACAGAAAATGTGTTTGAGCTTTTCCCAATGTAAATAACCAAGATTAGTACCCCACCACTTATCTTTCTTGCATGTCAAAGTGTTTTACCAATGTTGAGTGAATAGTTGTCCTCTCTCTATCTCTCTCCCATTTCTTCCTGCTCACAGTTGTATGAATGGGCCACTTCAGATGGCTGATCGATCGAATTGAAATCGATTGGGATATTGTTCTTGCATGTTGACGAGTGGGCTAGTTCCGGACATATCTTGCTTATCTTTATTTTCCTATTTTGTACCCTTGTTTTTCAAAAGTTGGGATTGACATTGTGGTCAGTAGTAGTGGATGACTAAAGCCATAAAATAATAATGCTTCTTTCCCCTTCGGAAATGGTAATAATAGCTCCTTACCCTCTTTATTGTGCTTTTCCATCATGCAATTTTTACATTTACAAAATCATTATGTTAGAGCTTTTGTTTTGAAAAATGACTTAGACAAATGACTTAGACCCCCAGTGGGGGTGACCCCCACCACCCCCACTGATTTTTGACTGGCTGAAATCTTTTTTTTTTTGTTTATTTTTTTGAGTCTTCCTCTCACTGCCCCCACGTGTATGTGGGGGGTGCTGGGGGTCTGGAGCACTGTTGTTTTGTTTTATAATAAAAGGTTCATGTTCAAACACCATGATTTATAAGATTTTGCTTTTTTATTTGGCATGCTTAAATTTTGCTACTTGTATACAGCTCTTAATGAAGCTTTAACCACGGAGGTTCAAAGGTTGAAGCTTGCAACTGCAGAGGTGAGTGGTGACCCCTCCAAGTTTCAGCAGCTTTCCATTAACCCCCAGATGTTCCAGCGGCACCACCAGCAGCAACAGCAACAGCAGCAGCAGCAGAATGGCGGCACAACCACAAAGCAAGACTCGAACCAGTAAGGCTGTAAAGGACAAAGATGGTGTTGTAGAAGACTTGGATGCCTCTTTAATTTTTATTTAATAGTATATGGTTCTTGTTATTTTGTTGTAATTGAATCCAATGCATTCATTCATTAGTTTTTGCATCTTTGACAACGAAGCACAGTAAGGGCGTGGTAAATTACAGATTCAACTGTTTAATTAGGTCATAGACAAAGCCTTAATATTTGTAGCCTTATATATGTTTGGATTAAGTTCATTTTGACATATTTTGTTGCAATAGTTGGAGAGTTAAAAAAAACTCTTTTTCAGCTTCACTTGTTCCTTCAAGTAAAGGTTACGTTTTGCTCAGTTTTTCATTAGATCTTGATCAACACAATAATTTGTAGCCGCCCAAATTTTGTTTTTTAGGCTGTATTTGTATAAGGCCTTGAGGAGAGGAGGTCAATGAATAAGACGGGATAAGATGGAAAAAAGTGAATGAAATAGAAGTAAAATTGTTTGCACTTTTTCCTTTAATTGCAAGCAAATCTAATCTCTTATAAAATATACTTGATCAAAACACAATTTTAGCAGTTTCATATTTAACTTCAGTAGACTCAGATAAAATTTACTTCAGCAAGTCCCTTATCGAATGCTTGGCAATGCTGATCCAATCCAGTTGTCAAGAATTCGGTTGACCATGACGATCGAAACTAACACACTAACACGTAGTATTGTAAACTGTAAATATACCTTGCCGATCAAAACTTGGGCACACTAACCTGTAGTATTGTAAATTGTAAACAACCCATGCCGATCCAATTCTCATAAACTTGGTTGACCATGCTGATCCAAACTTGATAGCACTAGCTTGTAGTATTGTAAACTACAAACGTACTGTATTGTAAATTGTAAACAAACCAAATTTAGATGTCGAGCAAAAAGTTGTTTAATTTTTTAAAGGAAAAAATAATTAACGAGTTTCAAAATGCGTAATAAATTTGGTGTGTTTACTTTTTGAAGTCAATTTTAAAAGAATTTTAATTGAACAAAACTTGAGTAATTTAGTTTTTTTTATAATCCATAAAAGCTTGTTGGTGGGTGTCCAGCAAAGTAATAGGATGGTCGACCGCAATTAAAACGAGTATTTAATGAATGCTTCGTAGCTCTGTTTGTTTTATGGTTCTTCTAACCTGCAAGATTTCAAACTGCTTAGAATGCAAATGCTTTGTAGATTTGAATATCATCTTTTATATCATGGGTAATACTAGTGAAAGAATAAATTAAGATATATATTATCAATACGAAGGACATTGGACACAAAGGTCAGGATGGCCGAGTGGTCTAAGGCGCCAGACTCAAGTTCTGGTCCTCGTGAGAGGGCGTGGGTTCAAATCCCACTTCTGACATTTCCATTTTACACTTTGCCACCTATTTTTTTAATTATATATTACACTTTGCCCATTTATTTTCAAATCCCACTTCTGACATTTCCATTTTACACTTTGCCACCTATTTTTTCACACTTTGCCCATTTATTTTTCCCTTTACATTGCATATTACTTTGGCCCCTATTTTCCACTACTTTTTTCATTACATATTACACTTTCCCCTATTTTGACCATTGTTTTTCCGTTACATTACATAATACACTTTGCCCCCTATTTTGACCATGCTTCAAGTTTTTTCAATTTATTATGACATTTTCATCTTTTACATTTTACACTTTGCCCCTTACTTTTTTAATTAAATTACATTACATTAGATATTACACTTTGCCCCCCCCCATTTTGACCATGTTTCAAGTTTTTCAATTTATTCTTAAGGTTAAATTCTGTTCAAAATTAGACAGAAAATAACACGTTGATAATTACATGACATATAAATATTTTATTATATATAACTCACATTTTTTACACCCAAGTTCCAATATAATAATATACTCCCTCACTCCAAAAATATTTATCCCTTATTTCATTTTTTATTGTCCAAAAATATTAGTATTTTTTTAAAAAATTAAGTAATAAAATAATATGAATTTACTATTTTGCTCTTCTTTTAAATTCATGGGTGATTTACAGCTAAGTCCCATTTTAAGAAATAATGGTACATTAAGTCCTACTTCAAAAACTTTTTACCAATAAGTTCTATCATAAGTTTAAATGACGAAGCTACCCTAACCAAATCAAAAACACAGAACATAAATCGCAGATTCGCGATTTCATTCTCACAGTTCATCCTACCATTTCTCATCCTCGCAGATTTCATTCTCACATTCATCAATTTTGCGTCATATTTCGTTTTATTTCATCAATCTCGTCTCAGATTTCAGAAGAAGAAACTAGATCATCAAATATTCTGAGATTCAAACAACAAAAAATGGTGAAAACAAGTAAGATTCAAGTATCTTAAACCCTAATTTTTGCGAAATCTTTCATTTTTGAAACTTTTGTTTTTGATTTCCATTTCAGTTTGAATGTTGAGTTCGAAACTCTTGTTTTCGAAATTTTTGTTTTTGTTTTTGTTTTTGTTTGTGAACCTCAGAACATTCACTGTAATGGCACTAAAATCATGTTCTCATTCCTTCAGATTAGGTTTCATTGTTGATTTTGATACGATTGCTGTGAATGTTCTTAGATTCTGAATCAATTTGAGTGAAAAATCCTAATTAATCATCTTCTCTTGCTTTCAATTTAAGTTTCAATGTTGATTTTGCTACCATTGCTATTAATGTTCTTCGATTCTTAGTGAATTTAAGTGAAAAACCCTAGTTAATCATATTCTCTTACTTTCAATTTAGGGTTTAATGTTGATTTTGGTGCAATTGGAGAGAGTATCTTAGATTTTTGAGAAATTTTACAGGAGATACCTGTAAGAGAGAATTTGGTTATAGGTGGAGATTTTAATGGTCATGTAGGCATAGATAAACTAGGCTATGACAAGGTGCATGGTGGATACGATTTTTGTGACAGAAATGAGGCTGGAGAGAGTATCTTAGATTTTGCGTTAGCTTCTGACCTGGTGGTGGCCAATACTATGTATAAGAAGAGGGAGGAACATTTAATAACTTTTAAAAGTGAATCAGTTTAGAGCCAAATAGATTACTTCTTACTGAGAAAAGCGGACCGCCTAAAATGCAATGATTGTAAGGTGATTCCTGGAAAGAGCCTGGCCTCTCAACATAGGATTTTGGTACTAGATTTATTTTTTAGAGGGCAATGCCAAGCTAGGAAGGATGGTGGGCGTCGTAGGACGGGATGGTGGGACCTAAAAGGGGATAAACTATAAATATTTAAGAATAGCATGAATAAGGAAGGTACTTGGGACTTAGAAGATCATGCTAACACTATGTGGAACTCGATGGCCAATTGTATGAGGAGAATCTCAAGGGAAGTGCTTAGAGAGTCGAAAGGGACGGGGCCCAGCTTTAGGGAAACTTGGTAGTGGAGGGAAGAGTTCAAGCGGTAGTTAATGCAAAAAAAGAGTGCTTTAAAAAGTGGCAGAAGGATAGAACTGAGGAAAACTTGAAGAGCTATAGATTGGCTAATAAGGAGGTTAAAAAAGTAGTGAGAGATGCTAAGTTGAAAGCTTATGATGACCTATACACTAGACTAAATAGTAAGGAGGGAGAGAAGAGGGTATACAAACTTGCCAAGATACGGGGGGCGGAAAACAAGAGATTTTAATCAAGTTAAGTGCATCAAGAGTGAGGATTCTAAGGTATTGGTGAAGGATGAAGAGATTAAGGAAAGATGGAAGAACTATTTTGAGAAACTATTAAATGAGGAACATGGAAGTACGACAATAGGGGAAGAAATAACCAGTAATATGATAAACTAAGACTATAGGTTCTATCGCAGGATTAAGAACTTTGAAGTGGAGATTGCACTTAAGAAGATGAAATCAAATAAGGCTTCAGGACCCGATGATATCTCTATTGAAGCTTGGAAGTGTTTGGGTAAAAAGGGGGTTGTTTAGTTGACTAGGTTGTTTAGCAAAATTTTGTTAACTAAGAACATGCCAGAAGAGTGGAGGAAGAGTATTTTAGTACAAATCTATAAGAATAAAGGAGATATCCAGAATTATAACAACTATAGAGGAATCAAGCTAATATGTCATATAATGAAAGTGTGAGAGAGGGTGATAAAACGCTGATTGTAAGATATAACAGAGGTGTCAGAGAATCAATTTGGGTTTATACCTGACAGGTCAATAATAGAAGTGATTTATCTTTTGAGGAGAGTAATAGAAAAGTATAGAGAAAAGAAAAGAGGCATTCATATGGTGTTTATCGACCTTGAGAAAGCATATGATAGAGTGCCTTAAGATACAATATGGTGGGTGTTAGAGAAGAAATGGGTGACAAAAGGTTACATTGTTGTGATTAGGGACATGTATGAAGGGGTGGTAACCGCTATTAGATCGTCTGCTGGAGAGACAAATGAATTTCCTATCACTGTAGGGTTACACTAAAGATCTACCTTAAGTCCTTATCTTTCGCCTTAGTTATGGATGAGTTGACAAGAAATATTCAGGATGATGTGTCATGGTGTATGCTTTTTGCAAACGATATCGTGCTAGTGGATGAGACTAAATAATGAGTTAACACAAAGTTGGAGATTTGGAGAAAAGCTCTTGAATCTAAAGGATTCCGGATAAGCAGAACTAAGATAGAGTACATGGAGTGTAAATTTAGTAACTGTAACAATGAAAGCAAAGGAGAAGTGAAGATTGAGAATTAAGAACTGTCTAAGAGTGAACATTTTCGTTATTTAGAGTCGATTATCACAACAATATGGGAGATTGATGCAAATGTGGCCCATAAGATTAAGGTGGGATGGTGTAAGTGGAGAAGTGTGTTTGGGGTACTGTACGATAAACGAATACCCACTAGACTAAATGTAAGTCCTATAGAATAGCTGTTAGACCAGCGATGTTGTATGAGACGGAGTGTTGGGCAACTAAGAAACAATATGTAGATAAGATGAGTGTGGCTGAGATGAGGATGCTAAGGTGGATGTGTGGCAAGACTAGACAAGACAAATTAGGAATGAGTGTATTCGGGAATGGGTAAGAGTAGCATCGATAGAAGATAAGTTGAGAGAGAATCGATTGAGATGGTTTGGTTACATTTAACGAAGATCAACAGAGGCAGTAGTGAAGAGATGCGATACTGTAACGGTAGATGGGAGTGTTAGGGGACGGGGTAGGTCTAAATTAACGTTGGCTGGCGTTGTAAATAGAGATATGAATCTACTTAATTTGACTAACGAAATGGCCTTTGATAGGGCTAAGTGGAGAAGAAGGATTCATGTAGCCGACTCCATTTGATGGGACTTAAGGCTTGGTTTGGTTTGGTTTGGTTTGCTGTAAAGTTCTC